ATCTTGAATCAGCTTCCGATTTAGAGGTCAATATAATCTAACATTTTCAAGTGAAAGGGACATTTACAATTATGAATATAAGTATATTTATTTCGATAAAGTTATTGATGATTCAATTTATAATCGAGAGCTATTTTCATGTAATTATTGAAAAACAATAGTGAACATGTATTTTGATATTCACTTTAAACCTATAAGAAATTAACAATATTTTTAATATTGTAGACAAAAAAACGTAGGAATATAGAAGACAATAAAAAACATTTACTTTTATCAAGACATCAGTGAAATTAAATTATCCATCCGGTTGCTACCTGCTGCTAATAAACTAATAAAAGTATATTAATAAAGAGGTCAATGCATAGATTATAAGTCACGCGACTAAGCCATTCAATGATGCCTCTGCTTCCACTACTGCTGCAATATATAGATGTTTCGCTTCTAAGCAGCGCAAAAAAGATTAACGTACAGAATATGAATATTATTATTATTATAGTTAAAATTATTTTACGATAAAGAGATTCTTTGAGAAGAATTTTGAAGTCTTTGTTCGTAAATTGTGATTTATCTAGATTTTCATTTGTTGCAATACAAAATTAGCCATTATTCTAAAAGTGTATTTTATTATTAAAGTACTAAAAATACAATAAAGTTTTGTTAATATTTAGTCTCTTACTTTATAATCGATTTCTTTCATCTAGGAATATTTATATAAGAGGATAAAATAATAAATTAAATGACAGTAAAAAGCTAATTGGCAGTTTATTATTACTTTCTTTACCGCATTTGCGATCATAATATTTAAATAGGTAATGCCACAACCTGTGAGACTGCCTATTCTTAACTCGCTTCACACACTCTCACTTTTTTGTGTCAAATGTTGTTTCGGTGTCATGTTAAATTTGTATTCTGATAAACAATAACCGCGACAAAAGGCCGCTCAAATAATTGTTGAATTTGGAATAAAATTTGGCACTCTACACTTACGCTCAAAATTGTTGGTATTTTATTCTATAATACCATAATTCATCTCATTTAAATTAATTTTGTAGTCAAATTAAAAGTTGCTCTTCCTCTAAATGTCATTTACAGTGAGTTACATTTTTACGAAGTTAAAACTTGTTTTATTGAAAATATTCTAAAATAGGAAATCTATATTATCTTGGGGTAAGTTTATAAATATATTTATATACAGTTTTTTAGAAAAATTATATATATAAACTTAATTCTGAAATAGAACTTTTTATTGTTACAGAAGGCCCGTTTCCACTTTAAAAGTTTAAACCTCTATTTAAAAATAAATATTAAACATTAAAAATATATTAATATTATAGATGCAAGAAAATTAGGCACAAACACCAATTGTTTCTCGCGTTGGTTACTATCGCTTTTTTCAATATCAAGAAATTATATGGTATTGACGAAACCTAGAAATATGCTGCTGAGATAACAAAGTCTAGTAAATAATGATCTAAGGTAAACATTTTGATTACTTTAGATTAAAAATATAATTTTTATCTAGAAAATTTTCATCAGTTTGATATGTCTTGTCTACAGAGATACTAAGTCAAAAAAACGATAAATAAGATAGTACCTACCTAAATTTTATATATTTTATTTTTCTACTATATAAAATTATAAATTAATAATTTCAGAGATCCCAAATGTTAAAATTTATAGAAAAATAATTTCTTAAAAGAAAATATTATTTATATACAACAAGGCCCTGTATATAAAAACACAATAGTAGACATTTTCAAATTATTAAATTTCGATATTATCTTAATTTATAATAATCTAGCGATCGCCCCTCGCAGGATAATTGATACTAAATTCAAAGTCTATATTAGGAGAACCCGCCTCCACCCTGCGTCCCCAATTTTTATTTGTAATATTCGAAATATTATTTAAATCATATCTTAAAGGGCCATATAGATCTATATTATGAACATGTATTCAAGGTATTTATTGGTTAAGGATTATCTGTTTGGTTAAATGCTTAAAATTTTTTTTGTAATAAATACAAAAAAGTTATTGTGGGTTATCATAAGAGATAGAATATACATACGATTTTTTATTTTCAATTTAAATATTATAATTATTTTGATAAAACTCGTAGGGTTCAGCCCGTTTCAATTAAGGAAAAATTAATTATTTACAATCAATTAGAAACCTCAAAAATAACAGTATTTCACTACTTAATGGATGTTATTATACTATAAACCTTCCTCTTGAATATTCTATTATTAAAAAAAGATAAAATCCTTGTGTAGTTTCAAAGGTTTAACATACAAAGGACATAGGAAAGAAAGCGACTTTGTTTTATACTATGTAGATGATAAACAGTACAATTTCGGTTCCTATATTTTTATAAAATATATTGATATAACATTAAGGTTTTATAAAAATTATTTTTTAAAGTATTAAATACATATTAATAATATGGTTTAAGTACTTATTAAGCTTTTTAAATTTATCGTTCATAACTATTACTTTTACAAACTAATTAAAAAATATATTAAAATAAATATATTTGTCTACAAAATAAAGTAGATTTATTGATTAGCTCTATGTGAGGCTGGGTTTGAATTAGTTTTATTATATTAAGAATGTTTTACTGAAAGTTATTTTGTAGTGTGTTAAAAGTTTACTATAATCATTAAATTAAATTGTAAGTTATTATATTGTTCTTTTATTAACCTATAAAGTAACATGCTTATATATTTTCATTTCGGCTTAGCTATGTATTTAACTGGTTACTAGTTTTCTATAGCAGTATTAATAAGTGGTAGATTTATTATATTTTATTAATATAAAATATTATTAGATACAAAAAATATTATAATAACTTATTTAAATAAAAATTTTTTATAAAAATATATTTCAAATTTAAATAATTATGTTCTTATATCTCTTTTAATTTAATAGTAATTGGTATTTTCTTCCTCATTTTACAATACACTATATTATACATGGTTATCTTTAAAATTGTAAATAGGGAAATGTGGTAGGTCCTTACAACAATAATATTATTATTATAAATTATTTTAAAAAGGAAAATAATAAAAGAACAAATCAAGTTTCTAAAAAAAATTTTATGGATATTTTTATTTCTAAGTAAATATTTAAAAAATTTTGATAATATTATAATAAGAAATTTATAAAAAGTTTTAGTAAAGCATAATTTCCACAAATTTGATTCAGTATATAAATAAAAATTTGAGCAAACCTATATTTACTCAAAAATTAAATAAGTATTACTATAAAAAAATTATTTATTAATGAAAAAATCAAACCATAAAGGGTATGTTTATCTAAAGTGTAGTCAGCACAATATATTTTTATTCTTCTATGTTTATTAAATAAGTTATGGCAATGTCATTTCCAAATTTAAAATTAAGTTGATCATTAATGGTATATTTGAAATTGAAAGTTATATATTTGATCAACATCTAACATATTATTTATATTGTATTTTGAAATCTGAAAATTAAATTAAATTAATTGATCAGTTAAAATTAATATTTCATATAGGAAACTAAAAAAATTTTTTATTTGACATTTTTAACAAAATTTCATTATTCTTTACAATGTCGCTTAATATAACCTATTAATTTATTCAAATTTCCATCAAAAAATTTTTAACTGTTTCTAGACACTACTTATTCCTATTTATTTATATATAGTTATTATATTTCTAAAATAGTTTTAATAGAATTAAGTTTTAATGAGTGTTATAAAAAATAGTAATATTTTTATTTGTGTTTGACCTCTAATCACTCAAAAGGTTCAATAGTAGTTTCATGGCATCTAAAATACCAACACTTGCACTTAAAAATGAATAAATATTAAACACAAATTTTTCTTCTTTATAATAGGTACCCTTTTATTTTATATTACTCAAAAATATTATATGAAAAATTGGTATTACCTTTAAAAATTTTGAAAATTTAAATACCTATCATCTTTTAGTTGAATCTTAGACCATTTCTGAGAGAATCACTTTTAGTGAATAATAATTTTTTTAAGATAATATTCTTAATTTTTTTTAAATATATCAGATACTAGGTATCCTTGTTTTGTGAAACATAATTAATATTTTTAAGTTTCTGTCGCTCATATAACACTGGTCGAAGTATAAACTCTTAATTGGAAGTTATAAACAAAATAATAACTTACGATTTACTAATAAATAAACTTACTACTCACCTTTAAGCGGCCCCATTGCCAGATGGGTTTTAATAATTTTCCTCGCTATGCTTTGGTTAAGCATATTTCTATATTAATCTTGCTAATTATTTTCCATCTGATAAATCATTTTAGAGATATTTTCACAGTTTATCTTTTTTTATTATTCTTAATTTTTTTCAAACGTCGACCATTTTGTTTTATTAAAAATCTTTTGTTTTATATGATGAAAATTTTGACAATTAACTCTTTTTATAAATAAAATGAGTCAATTCACGATATTAATAGACAACAACTCACTAGGTTCACTCCCTCCACTTATCAAGACGTAATGTAAAATTTTTAAAGAATACCATGAGATTCCAAAAATTACGTGAGTGACGAAGGGAGCCTGTTAGTGCGTATGGATCACGGATAACAGTGAGTTACAGAATCGCAGGGCTGAATACATGAGATTCCAAAATTAGTGAGTGACGAAGGGAGCGCTTTAGTGCGTAGTGGATCACATAAAGTGAGTTAAGAATGCAGGGCTGTTTAATGTAAAACTATGCTCTAAGAAATTCTTTTGAGGTTTTCAAGGAAAATCAATAACCTCGGGTCTTCCGATATCTATCTACCTACGATTCGTTTAAACTTAAGAACAAAGCATGTATGAAACTCGCTGGTTATAAAATTATGTAAAGTATGTTTTAAGGTATTTCTTTGACGTAAGAAATATCAAATTATAATTAATGTTTACTACCATACCAACCAACTCTTTTCCACATATCTTTAACCTGAAACGAACAATACCAACCTGTGTAACCAGTTAAATGCATTGTTCCAGTAACTATTATGTCATCGAGGTCCCAGACCCGCTCAAGGACTATCAAAAGACCTTCAAAGTATATTGGAATGTGCCGACAATGCAATGCAAATCGAAAAAAATACCGTTCGACGGTCTATACGAGAAATACGGCATAATACAGAATAAGGATGACGATTTTTTAGGCGAGAGCGTCGCCATTTTGTATGACCCTGGAAAGTTTCCCGCGCTTTTCGAGACTGACAGCAGTGGAAAGTACGTTGAGCGTAATGGTGGCGTACCACAAGACGGTAATATGGAAGAGCACGTGGACGCGTTCAAGGATACAGTCTCAAAGAGGATACCTGACCCAGATTTTAACGGTAATATTTGTTTTAATTGCAAAAACTGTTTAGATTCATTACAGACTTTGAGATTTAGTCTAATAAGAGTTTAACATTCTCATAACTTCTAGAGGTCTTAAATTGATTATCACTGAAGACCTATTGACCTTAATTTTTATGTTTAATATCCATTTTAGTACTTATCTCTATTTTAATAGAATCTAGAGTTTTAAGAGCACTTGACCTAGATGAAGCGCGCTCAAACTCGAACATTTAGCGTCTATAAAAATACGTTAATTTTATAAAATAACTGTTTGTGTATTGTCAAACTTCTACTTAATAAACTCTCTCTAATTACGAAAGTTATTTATGTATGCACTGTTTACAATTTCATTGCGATTACTTTAATAAAAATACAAACAATGAAATTCCTTAATCAAACAACAACTTTATCGCATGTAAACAGACAAGTGCAAGTAAGCGTTATACGAACTTATTAAATTACATAATACAAACGATATAATATATATCATACGTCACTAGTATTGAGTAGGTAATCGTGCGGTTAGAATTATGTGAAAAATGATTTATCTATGTATATTAGAAATCTATCCAGAAACAACGGGTCGATGTTCGTTGATACAAACTTTGTTTTACCGATAATTAAAACATTTAACTAAGGAACAACGGAAAAGTTGCCTTTAAATACAAATACAAACAGGTCACTACACAATGAAATGCTTACCTTACAATATAATGGAAGGACTTAATTCAATTAAATTTGAATTAATTATCAATTTCTACCCGAGACCAACCAGGCGATATTAAAAACAGGAATAATATGAATATTGAACGTAGCGATAGCTCACGAAAAATATATAAACTACTAACAAATAGTACCTACTTGAGCACATTGTAATATCTGTAATGTGAGAGGAATAGTAATGAAGATATTAAAAAAGTGTGGATTTTAATTTCTCGCTCGTAAGGGAAAAATTGTCATGAGAAGAGGATGTCTTAGACTGGCTTTGTAAAACTCCACAGTATAATAACTTTATAGCATATAGATAGGACGTGACAAATTAAAATCCGGACGAAATCACAAACATGAGTTTTTGCTGAACACACAACAAAATCTCAATGACATAACGCCCACGGTCTACTTGTGCTATGATCTTTAACTTCGCACGTAACTAATACACCTATGATAACATAGTAACTTAATTTATAAATTCTTTTGCAATTGTATTTTAATAAATAATAGTTAAAAAACACGCTTTTAAAGCACATCAAACCAAAAAGTGAAAAATAATTCCTAATTTAGGCTGAAAATGGTAATGAACAAAAAATACTGGTATTATTGTGAAAAAGCGTGGGTTGCTCGATAGACGAAAAATATGGCACAGAGCGTTTATTTATTTTTTAGTTAATTTTTTTTTTTCGGATTATTGCATTGTCATCGATCTTTGACTGGTGCGCAAAATTTGAATAAAATCTGTCCGTTTAAAGTGGGTCAAAATCGAGTCCGAAGGAGTCGGTTACATACATACATACAGGTGAAGCTAATATAAAGCGTGTAAAAACAAATAAAGAGAATTACACTTTACTTAACTTCTTTACCAATGTGTAAAGAAGGTCTGTTGTTATTATTATTTTTTCTATGTAGAGCTAAGAGTTACTTAGTTTTGCATAAACCATTGCACTTTTTTAGCCGCTTTTTGTGTGCCTTTCATCCATGCTAACCTATCCTAATACTGTAAAGAAAGACTTGTGTATTGGTGTGTTTGTTACAAACTAACTCTCAAACTAATGAATTCAAAAAATTTCTCGTCATTTTAATGCTACATTATCCTTCAGTATGATATATTTCTTTTCAACATATTTAAAAATGTATGTCCAGTCGTTCGAAGCTGGGACAGGCTCACGCTACGTAAACTATTGTATGTACAAAAATATTCACCGATAGGTTGAATACCCATAGTACCGATAGTAATTAGATCGGCCATGTCAAGGTCGCCGTTTACCATCAATTATCGTTCAGTGCGGAATACTCCATGACCACTGTCAATAACTATTCTGACGATTTTATTAAAGCGTGGTATTTATTTTTTAATTTTCTAGATTTTCATTTCAGTTTTAAATATATGGTCTAGTGGCTTCAGCGTGCGACTCCCATACCTGAGGTCGTAGGTTCGATCCATGGCTGTGCACCAATGGACTTTTTTCTATGTGCGCAATTCACATTTGCTCGAACGGTGAGGGAAAACATCGTGAGGAAACCGACATGTCATAGACCCAAAAAGTCGACGGCGTGTGTCAGGCACTGGAGGCTGATCACCTACTTGCCTATTAGATTTAAAAATGATCACGAAAGAGATTCAGAAATCTGAGGCCAAGACCTAAAGAGGTTGTAGCGCCACTGAATTTTTTTTCTTTTTTTTTTAATATATAGAAGTAGTCAAGGACCGATATTCTTAAAAATAACTTAAAATAAGTTTTAGTATAAACCAATATATATCAGAAAAGTGCATAACTTCTAAGAAATATTTCATGCTATCGGGCATTGTATATCTATGTAGGGGCATTATTAATGTAGGAACACTTTTCTTATGATTTTATCTTGTTGTTCTTTGTGAGGCAAAATATTTTAAAATTTGATCAACTTAATTCAAAAAAATATAAAGAATTGAAGACAATAATAAAATGCTAAAACCTTTCAGGCATTGCCATAATCGATTTCGAGTCTTGGCGTCCAGTGTTTCGACAGAATTTCGGCGTACTGTCAGTCTATAAAGACATCTCCTACAAGAAGGAATATGACAAGCATTGGTGGTGGCCTGAGAGCTGGGTCACTTCTGAGGTTAGTTTGTTTCTTTATAGCTAAAGTACATGGACTAAACCGATCACACTGCACAGAAAAAAGAACGAAAAACCTATTTATCGCGCGAAGTGGTTTTATAAAGCAATTAGGTTTTACATTATGCTTTATTTTAATTTTTGCTTCTTCTTTCCTTAGCTCATCACCCATATCGATCGCCTCTTAAATTTTAAGAAACCATTAAAACAATATTTACGCGACACTGTAAGTATTAATAGTATTTGTAACAATAATTGAAGTTATGATTCCCAGAAACCCTGACGAACAAACCAGAAGGATCTGCATGCTTATGAAAATCATTATAACAGAAACGATTTAATTTAAATACCGCACTAATTGAAGTTGGCATATGATGTGCCCTAGATCATAAGGCGTGTCTCGTCCCATATTCTATAATAATTGAGATGTGCACGCGCAGGAATGCGCTTTTGTATCTATGTACTTTTAATAAAAAGATTACTGTTAAGTTGTTTCCTTAGATATAATTTTCTGTAAAAGATAGCATCATTTATCTTCTTTAACATAAAGGGTAGAACAGGATTTTTATAGTTTCTTCTTCTTTTGTTTTCCTTTGATGGTCTTTTGCTAATCCTAATCATAGTTCATAATTCGTAATGTTATTTAAAAGTTAGGGCTGAAATTGTTTTCAAAAAACCGAAAAAAATATCGCAAAATTTACTGTATACTTTAATCTATTTTTCTTGAATCTTTTTTTTGAAAAAAAACAGTAAAATTGTCTTAGGATTAATTCATAAAATCTGCAGTCCTTCCCCTCTGGTGTAATTTGTAATTTATAACTCGTCGATGGCTAGTTACTTAATTTTAAATTTCAACTTACTTAATAGTTCCTACAAATTGATTGCAGGCAAAATATCGTTTCGAATCATCGGCTCGTGAGTTTATGCAGACGACGATTTCCATCGCCAAGCAGATGAGGCCTAAAGCCCGGTGGGGCTATTACGGGTTTCCTTACTGCTTCAACATGGCTGCCAAAAACATGGCAGAGGATTGTCCACACAACGTCAAAGAAGAGAATAATCAGTGAGTTTCACGTTCTATTCTTATAGCAACGCATTGTTTAAATTATGTTGGAAAGGCCTATAGTCGAATTATATTTTAGAATCAGTCCCCGTGTTCACTCCTAAAGTATTAAATAAATCTGGGTATGTTATTTAGTAACGTTACACTGGTTGATCATACATAATATTACCCTTCTATCTTTACCTAACTATTTCATAACTATGATTATCTTTCATCATATAATCGATTAAACGTTTTACTACACTAAGAAAAATTATCTGAGAAGTCGACAGGAATGTTTCCACCTCTCTCCTTATTGAGTGGTTTTTTTTAAATTTTGAACTACCTGTTAAATGTAATGTTTTAGAATCTACTGGCTCTGGGCTGAAAGCACAGGCCTCTACCCTTCAATCTACAGCTCACAGAGCCTGTCATCGTCGGAACTGGTTTCCCTTATCAGAGGACGAATCCGAGAAGCCGAGAGGCTGCAGGTGAAGGGAACCCCGATACTTCCCTACTTCTGGTATCGTTACAGAGATGGAGGGTTCTTGAGAGAGGTCAGTATCCAATATACATAATTAAAAATCTCATTTTATTAGTTTTTTTAAATATTTGTTTTATTCTCAAAATTAACGTATCATCTCCTCGTTATCTGCATTTTAGGCGAAAATGTTAAGATCTTTTGAGTCCTTTTATCAATTTGTATTGCATGTCCTGTAGGTTTTCGCGATAAATCAATTATAATAGAAAATAATTAATATACTTTAATTACTTTTCAATTATATTATTTCAGAGAGACTTATCGAGGGCATTGGAAACTATATATAACTCGGAGGCCTCCGGTATTATTATTTGGGGAAGTTCGAGCGATGTCAACACTGTAGAGAAATGTACAAAACTAAAAGACTACATAAGTGAGACTTTCGGACCATACGTTGCCAAATACACTAAAAACAATCGGAAAGTTCAAAACGACGAAGAATTCACATCGAAGCCCGCGATTGAGGAAAATTATTTTTTTCCCCTTCAGGCAAATATAGAAGACTTCGCCGAAGAGAGTCAAAGTGAGAGTAATATAATGAAAGAAACTCCAGTATTAGATAAAGAATATTTAATTGATAATTTAACTAGCATCATTTTTAAGGTCAATGGTGATAAAGTTAAGGACAAATACATTCTAAATAATATTTCGTCTCCAGCGATGACAGAGGCGACATCTACTACAGATCTAAGTATGACTGAAATACGTGAGACTAGTGAAGAATTTACTACAGAAACATCAAATACAACTAACCTCTCTTTGGAATTTATTTTTTCGTCTGAAATAACTACTGAAGCTGCGGAAACAACAACCGAAAAAAGTATAGACGCGTCCGAAGAGAAAATAATGATAAACGATGAATTTATCATTTTATTCACAAATCTATCATCACAAATTTTAGATTTTACAACCGATAATATCGAGAAACATTTAGATTTATATGAACCCAGTACAAGTAGTCGTGAAAGAACGAGTGAGTCGCCAGACTTTTACACTCCGACAGAATCTGTCGACGAAGTTGTTAGCTATATTTATAACTCATAATTTATTTATTAGGAGAAATAACACTTTTGTGTTTTTATTTATTGTCGTTTATGCTTTAACTTTTAGATAAACTTTTGTCCTTTATTATATATTGTTTTTTTTTTTAATATTTCTTTTGCCTTAATTTAAATAAGTACTTCGTAAATCTCTCCCATATCTAATTTTTCATTCTGATATTAACTGTTACAAATAATTATGAAATTCCGTAATTAAATTAATAGTTATAGATTTGTACATGTCATTAAATTTAGATATGTATGTATGAGTGAACCTAGAATCATCAATATATCTAAAAAGATAAGATTGCCTAATCTAGCCCGAGGGCCCAAATTGCTGAGCTGAGAAGTGAGAGGCACTAATTCTCTTATTTCGCCGCATCTATCTATCGGTACTGATTCCAGAGCCAGTAACACATTGATGTTGTTCTGCTGCTATATATTATTAGACTTTGGTTCATATGAGTCCGGACGACTACTTATTTATGATCTATGATGAAGATGCTTATGTTATTTTTTGTAATACTTATTTGATTGTTTGAATATGCAAAGTACTTTATAGATTTCTATTATAAAACGTTTTGTTTAGGACGACAAATGTATAGTATTTAAGATATCTCTTTGGTTTAAAAAATAAGGCTTTTAGAGTTAGGATCCTCGAAATCCCCAAATTTACATTATTGGGTAGTGTAATTAAAAATTTGCTTAGTATTTTTAAGGGACTTATTCAGACTACACACTATTAAGGTATTTATGCGACCTGATGATTTATCTTTGAACACGCACAATACACAATATCATGTTCAACGTTATCAAACAATTTCGCCAAATAAAAAATCTCGGGGGTGTAGTCAAGATTTACATTCACTACTGTTAAGGCATCTTGACTAAGACCCCTGGGATCACTCGAACGGGATCACAAGCGTTGGATGTAGTTAACAACGTCTTGTCTTGTTTAGTCTATTGCACACTAGATGGCGAGGCCACAGCAAGGGACTGACTAATGAAGGTGGAAAGAAAAATAATAGCAAGCTAGAACAGTACCTATGTAGTTTATTAGTCTTTATAGTATGTAAATTTTTTAAGCCTTTAGAAATAATACTGCCTATTTAAAAAAATTTTTATTCGTAATGTGTGTGATGATAAATAATAAATTTGTAAAATAGCGTCTAGGTCAATAACATAGCTGTGAACAATAAAATGTTGTACAAATTTCATTTTGTTTCAATCACATCTATTGCGTTCCTCATCTAACGTAACTTTAAAAATGAAACCAGAATGCAGGTCTAACACAATTTTATTTCACACCGAAATCTATTCTACGTTGGTATAGTTTGTGATGTGTGGTGGTTTAAGAATATCAATACATAATAACTATTACGTAAATATGATATTCCTCACATATTGTAAGGATTACACAATTATACAAAAAAGGTGTAATACAATTATTGTTAATATTACTATAGGTAATATAAAATTGCAACCCAAACGAGGAGTTCTGAAGATTTATTTTAATTTATATTAAACATGAAACGATAAGTTAAAATTAAACGCCATTTCAATGACAATCTTTAAATAAACGAGTACTGCTTAAGTACTGCTTCTATAGTCAGCCAGCTATCGATAGAATAGTAACAATAGATTTGTATAGAAAACCTAGGAAGTCCTTCGTGGGCATATTTGTAACATAACGTAAGCACTAACATGCATCGTTAGAAAAGTATGCGTGTAGTATACAAAAAGTATGTGGAATATCGACGCGATGGAGGGGTCATAGAGTGAATACTTCACGAAACAATCGCCGTCGAAGGTGCTTTGAGGTTAAAGTGGGCGTAAGCATTGAAAACCATGCGACCATAGACAAATAGATAAATGATTCCTTATCTATGTCTATGAAATAAATATTGAAAGTCGTTAAGATCAACCACAGACAACAGTATAAAAGTAATTTTTGAATAAAAGTGGCATTTCATCGTCTGTTATAAAATTTCTATCGGGTCTTATACTTGCAAAATGATTGTGTTTCGGTTCAGTAATGACATTGAAATTGGCTAATTTCTGAACTCTAGATATATCTCTGATCAATTCGTTTAACGTGTAGCCTGTGATGAGTAACGGTGTCTTCAGTTTGGAGATGCATTTGATTGTAGAAGGCCAGTGATCTCTTCCATTGTAAATAGATGCCCTTTCGATGCTTTGATTAAAGGAACACACTGAAAAGAAATAGATCATAAATACTAGTAGTTTCAAGGTTGATAGCATATTTTACATTACATTGAATGTAACCCACATTTTAGAATAAACTTTTGTAAAAACTATAAAATATATTTTCTTCTTTTTTTAAATAGAACTTATGTGAAAGGTTGATAATTTTAACACAGCGCCATCTGTTTGAATTGTATCAAATAATAAACAAATATTTTGCAATAAATTAAAATTGCGACTATAATTTGAGATTTAAACTATCCTATCTCTCAAGTTGGATCGAACTGCACATGGTGTGCAAATTTGATTGATATCGGTTCTGTAGTTTAGGAGTCCATTGAGGACAAACATTGTGACACGAGATTTATATATATTAAGATAGGTCTTACCGATGTCGGGTTTCATAAACTCGTCACTGTTAAAATAATCTTGATAAGTCTTTTTGTCTATGAACTTGAACAGAAGCCGCCGACTACTTAAACGACAGGCCTCACATAATCTGAAACAAAAGATAAAATATCCGCAAATTTTATATCGAGGTTGAGTGAATGATATTAACCGGGTTTGTAAGAAATAACTTTTTACCAAAGCATTAAATGTAGGAACATTTCTTAGCCTTGGCTAATTGTAATTTTGTTATAAGTATATTAGTTATAAATTGTGACGTGCAAAAGGACATTGTTATGAACCGTATGTTTACCACCATCAATATTTTAAATTTCCATTAGAGCCTGTAAAAAAGCGACCGCTTCTTATCTAAAGATAAACTGGAAACTCATTGGTATTTTTATAAATTTTTTAAGTCGGTGCTACTTACTTAATCTTACTAAGCAGCTCCAGTGGTAAGTTGGATGGGTTGAGGTCACGACTGATGAGAACCACCCTCAGATCCTTTACATCAGGGCGAAGGTGGAGGAAAAAGACCTCCCACTTATTCAGTATATCTGCCTCGAATTGGAGTTCAGCACCCACTATGTGAATTGTAAGAGTTGATTTCTGTTGACGTTTTCATAATATTATTTACAGCAGCAAAGCTTTAAACACCTAGAAGATTTTGATTTATACAAAAGACAATTGTTATAGTCAGAAAGATATCAAAGAGTGAACGGGGATTAAAAATGGGCCAAAAACAAGAGACTTATCTCCAATACGCTGGCGACCAAGTAATACTTGCGTATGGTGAAGGTATTGCAGGAGCTGGTAACAGTTATGAAAAATGCTTTGACTGTTAAGAAGTGAACATAGGAAAAACAAAATCTATGGTATTTGAAACAGGTGTCAATAGAACTGTATGCGATATTCTGAGAGATGAATAAAAAGTGGAACAAGTTCATATGTTCATGTTTTAGGATGTATGAAACTGGACATTAGTCAAGATGAAAAGAATACTGAATAAATGATACGAAAGCGAATGCTTTGGTGGTTTGGCCATGTAGGACGGATGAATAAGAAGCGGTTAACAAGATATTTGAGTACAAGGCAACTGTGAGTGGTTTAGTCGAATTGGGTAAGCCTTGTGGTACCTGGTGTATACCTGGACCAAATCCAGTAGGGACTAGATACGGCACAAGGTAAAAGTATGGTATACCCACGAGCATGTATGGTGGATGTCATGAAAATGAATAAAGCGAGAGGACCGTCAGGACTGTAGCAAATGAAGATCTGTGGTCTCTGACTACCTCGTCGGGAAAAGGCGTGAAGATATAAATAAATAAAATAAAAAAAATGATTTAATATTCACGACATATAATATTCAAATCAGGCAGTTCAAATGTTATGCGTGTATTTCTGTACATTTCATGCACTTAGCAATAGTTTTCATGGGCGAAAAATATCACAAATATACATCTATATAGGCAAAAGCCTAAAAACGGCTTCTACACATCTACGACTCATAACAACATAGAATTATGAAAGGAGGACTATAATAGTATAACAAAAATGACCTTAGTCAAACCATTGAAATTCTTGCCGTTCGTCTGATAGCAATAGGCTGCAGTGAGGGGCGCCGTCGCTATTTGAGTCACGGCTGCATAATCTACGTCGCTCATATCTGTAAAAATCCAATGAATAATAGTTACTTTCATACACGACCAAAAGGGTAATTAACGAGGGTAATAGCATGTTTTCATAAAATTTAAATTCATGTAAATTAAATACGAGTTTAGTGTGTCTAAAACATGATTTCTATGTAAAACTTAAGTAAAATTGTCTTCTAAGTTAGTTATTTCAATGTTTGTTGATAAATGCGTTCTATTACAAATACTTGAGCCCATGGCATGAGATAAAAAGTATCACCATTATGCCATAATCATTGTATACGTTTTTATCTATCGTAATATTATAAATAGGAATTATTTATATTTTTGTACATTTGTATCGAATAATCTCTAAAGCTCTATATTTTTCTTCAATTAACCATAAGTTGTAAATACATTAATGTATAAAAAGTTTGTACTGAGAATAAGACGAATAGAATCCTAAAAAATAAATCCTCACAATCATAAAAAGCCTTTCTTACCAAGTTTCTCTTCATATAATGAAGCTAATACTTCGTTCATTGTTTCCGGGATCTGATAGTCTGCTGGCATTACTTTAGTGGGCAACGTTGGCTCCAAACGACCTAGTTTTTGTTGGTAGCTGACCAACTTTTGATAGAGAGCGTACGACTTGCACCAACGTTGGTGAGATATTGGCAAATGTTCGGGATGCTCCGTGCAGTAAGATACCTATAAATTAAATAACAATAAATTGTAAATTTACTATACTTCGAACACATATTAGATTATATAGAATAAGCTATTGACAATAAACGTAGTTTTTTAGCCTGAAAAAATATAAATACTAGAAAGGCCATAGTATAAACAACAAATCAAATGTAAATCGTACCTATGTTATAGACAACGAAACTATGTATTACTTCACCATTCCCTTCACCGTCGGTTTTATTTATTTATTTTTCAAGGCATATGGGCCTAACACACTTTGTAGATTTGGGTGAAAACATGCATCAATTTCCTATACCATATGATCTTGAATTGGATACACTAGCAAATAGTAAATTGTAGGCTTTGACTTTAAAAGATCAAGAGTTCTAATATTAGCTGTGCCAAATAAACAAATATAATAATTAAAAGCTAAATTGGCAAAGGCAAAAAAATATTGGTTTAAATAACTTTTAAACAGCAAAGCTTTGACTTGCAATTTAAGACTGCCTAACCTACTTGGCGCCGCAAAAATACTAATTATAGCACTGAGCATTGGAGATTCTCTGCTGGCTTCCAAATGTTATATCAATCAACACAAGTTGCATTAGTTGTGTAAGACTATTCTTCAATTATTTTTATTATGGTCCAATGTAATCATATTCGATAGTCCACGTTCTAATTAATTATTTCATTGGGGTTTTTGGAAGAGAGTTCCAATTATTTTATTATAACATTTCTAATCTTTTCAAGTGTCTTTGACACTAGAGTTAAAAAAAATACATTAGATATAACAACGATATTATCTGTATTTTAATCACACGAATAATATTTTACAAATCAAACCTGTCCACATCCTTGACAGTCGGTTAAAAGACCTTGCCTCCATTCTCTACAAGCACTATTATTGCAAATTCTGGGATATAGCAGTGCCTCCTGCTCCCACGGGACTAGTTTTCTTTTTAACATTTTTTCGCATGATATTATTAACTGCATTCTTAGTACTCTGTAATCCTGTCCTGTTATGTTTTTCACATCTCCGTAAATAAATTTTTGTTCTGAAAAAATAAAAATTATGTAAAATAATATTATTCATTAATTTGGCGCGCAAACCTGTGTGTGTGGTTTTAAAATTCATGTCTTAGTATAATAATTACAATAACTATTACCTTTTAAATGCGCCATTGTACACACAACGAAGCACAGAAACTGATGCTGAGGCCAATCTTCATCTTTATGTTTTTGACTACAGTAGAACAACAAGTTGCAAAATTTACAAGCGACTCTAGAACCCAACTCTTTCGTACATACATGACAGACATTTGGTAAAAACACTTTTCGAAAACTATATTTATATACAAAATCACTGTTATCGGAAGTTCTGTAAGTGTACGATTCCTTAGATGCTTGTTTCAATAATTTGTTTTTTGTCTCGGAGTCTTTAGTTTGCGCTTTCTCTATTTCATTAGCGTCTCTTATTTTCACTTTAGCTGTCATTGTATTCGGCGGTTTATTCTTTTCTTTTTTATAGTCTGCCTTATTCGATTGTGCAGGAATGTTGGGATGACCTAATAAGTTTTTTGGCTGTGAAGCAGGGTTTACTTTAACAGGTTTCGCTTTTGCATCTTCTTCTGGTTCAGTAACACTTATTTCAGGGTTTTGAAACAACTTTTTCTGATTCGGTAATTCACTTGCCTCTTTAGCGATCATCTCAAATGTATCGTTAATATCTTCAGTGCTCGATGTTAAAGCGTCCTCAAACTTTTCAATAGGTTCAAAGACAGCTGGTAATACTGTAGTTTCTTGGGAGTCTACTAAAATGTTATCTTGATTTGTAGACTGCTGTTTACCTTTCTTCTCCTGAGTATCTGACTTTTTATCTTTTTTTTCATTTTTGTCTGTTTCTTGTACGCTCTTATTTGAACCGGATACACTTACATTGACACCACAAGTAGTAGTAGTAGTAGTAGTAGTAACACTACAGGCTTCGGGTGTTTTATTACCCTTTTTCTTAGTCTTGCTTTTCTTGTCTTTTCTTGCAGGGCACACAGGAGGGGCAACTGATTCTGGTCTTCTGTTAATCTCTTCTAGCATATTTTTTTCTGCCTTGTTGGATTCACAGGGTGTAGTTAAAATAATTTCTTCTAACGATTTTTCCTCTTGCGTCGCAGTTAAATCTTTTAAATTATATTCTAGTACCTCTGCATATTCTCTTTCAGCATCTAAGTCGTTTCTTTCTAATTCAGTAAGTTCAGCCAGGGATTTTTCAAAAGTCATTTTCAATTCCTGTACTTCTTGGATATGAACGTTTTCTTCAAGTAGCATATCTTTATCACTGTTATTTGTCGTTTCTGTTTTTATTTCTATAACTTCTAAATCTAAAGGATCATGTTTAGATCTTACTTCTGGCGATTCACCCGAACCTTCTACAAGAGGAACTGACATTAAGATGGGAATGCCTAGTTGTGCCTGATCTGGGGAATTAATTTCACGTATAACCATATTATTATTGTTGTCAAATTGCTGTTGACTACTAGATCTTGGGTATTGTATTAAATCTGGCGTAACATTTGATTCTTTTTCTTTTAAATCACTTTGTAAAGAATTGCTGGAAATATTTAACTGCATATCACTCTTATTAAGTCCTTTATCTATACCTGGTATAGTTTCTCGAATATTCTCTTTGTCAGTATGTTTTCCTAATCTCTTTTTCTTTCTCGATGGGCGTGCTTCCATAAATTCCGTAGTTTTATCGCTTTGAACATCTTCATAGCTTTGTTCTTTACTTTGGTCATTACAAATTAATGTAATATTCTGTTCACTTTGCTTTCTCGAATTATCATCGTCAGTCATGCAGTCTCTTACTTCTGATTTTAATAACATGACATCTGCATCCTTATTATCTTTAATAATTTTGTTAACGTCTTCAGGAATTGGATTATTTGATATTGTTTCTTCAATGTCAATTGCAGGTGTTGTATTTTTACCTTTCCTATTTTTACGCTTTTTATCTACAGGTTTGGCAATAACGGCTTTTGGTTTTGTGTCTTCGATGACTAAACTAGTTATTTCTTCAAACTTTTCGATTTTATTTTCTTCCGTAACAATCGAGGTAGGATTACTCGTAGCTATAGCTTCAACAACCTTATTCTTGTCTTTTTTGTTCTTCTTTTTCTTTTTACCTGTTGGCAGTGCTCCTGGTAATTGGTCACATTTATCCGTATTTTCTTGCGTCAAACCCTCTGCATAACTGCTATCAGATAGATATGATTCTTGCTGACATTCTCCAGGTTCCAATAACTTTTGAAAAGCCGATGTACAAGATGCTAATTCTGTGTTATCTGAATGTTTCTTTTTCTTTTGTTTCTTTATAGGAGTTGCATTTTTAATACTTGAAGAAACATTTTCACTTATCAGACCATCCACAAAAACGTGCGGTATGGATTGTGTTTCATCCGTAAACTCCTCTTCGGTATTATTAGTATTTTTCTTACCTTTTCTTTTCTTTCGAGTTGTAATGACTTCATTTCCTTTTTCAATATTTGCCTCCAATTGTTTAGGTTCATTAAAAATATGAGGTTCAATATTCGGTGCTTCAGAAACTCTTAAAATGTCATCATCAGATGCAGGTTCATCTCTTTTCTTTTTTCCTTTTTTTCTTTTCGGTTTTACTGGTGCAACTGGTGCAGCTTCAATACAGACATTTTCAACTTCCGGAACTAACCTCAAATCATCGTTTAAGCAAATATCATTATCCTGATTCACAAATTCTTCAATTTTAGTTTCTTCTAAGTTTTCATTGATTTCACTAAGAGCTGAAACTGCACTAATATTAGTTGATTTTGGCTTTTTATGTTTACTTTTCTTGGAATTCATTTTGTTTTATTTTGCACCCACACTTAAATATACTTCTTAATAATTAAACACGCGTCTGAATTGACTCAATTTCAAATTACGTCTGATTGGATTGTGTGTCACTTGTTATTCTTGTCTTAAATTTTCACGTGTACGTACTAGAAAATGTCAAACAGATATTGCTTTCGAAAAACAGACCTTAAGGAGAAATTATTTGATTTGGTTTGGCTTGTATACTGATACATTTGAACTGTGACGAGGAAGCGTAGGTTGCCAAAACTGCATGCAACTAGAGTTAGTTACAAGTCTATTATTAAATTAGAAGTACTGAAAAATGTAAGGCCGTCTGATGCACTAGCTAAATAAAACGGTCATCACACTACGAATAATAAAATAATATCTGCATTCAAAATAGTTTTGTTTGTTTTCAAAATAGCTTTTGAAAATGAATGCCCTTGACAGAATTCCACAAACTTTTTTATATGTGCTCGTAAAAATCCTTAACGTTCTAGTTCAAGTCAGACAAATGGCACAACTTGTACTACTGTTTTGGATTATGATAAACAGAATAATAACAGATTACAATTATCTCATAATTTATAACATAAATCCGATTTCACACATTTGACAGCCGCACTTAACTTTGATAAAAGAAAAAAAACACAATACAATCTGACACAATCTATAGCCCAGCTGATGCCTTTGCCGGTCAAGCGTGCTTTGATAGAAATCTGAACTAGTTAAGGGATATTAAACTTTATTTATAAATACTTAAGGGTAACGACGAATTGCGGGGTGTATGATCGAGAGACCCCCGTTTTAAAATGCTAATGAAGGGTTGAAGCACCCTTGATATGGAATAGGAGTCGGTGAAATGTCCATTTTTATTACATATATTCTGTTCATAACAATATAAATTTTCTATTATATAATTATTAGAAGAAATATAAAAATTGTATAATTTAATATACATATTCTCCAAATCCAAATTCTCCAACAGTCAATATAAACTAGATCAATTTGATTCTTTTGAGGTTTCAATTTAAAAAAAAACTAACAAATTTTTGTTTGTATAGTCGCAAAGTTGTGGAATGACGTATTTAATTATAAACATTATTAGCATTACAACACATTGAGTTCCCAAAACTAGAAACGTACGTGATTACCTTAACAATATCGTAACTTCTATATAATATAATCAAAGAAAGTCGTGTTAGATACACTATTTATGCCTAAAGAACGGCTGAACCGATTTGGCTGAAAAATGGTGGGGAGGTACTTAGAACCAGGAGACGTACATAGGACACTTTTAATCTCTCAAGAACGGCTAAACCGATTTCGCTGAAAATCGGTGATGTAGATATGATTGAAAATTTGACAATTAGAAGGTTTGAAGTTGATCGGCAGATGTGTTTATTTCGAGTTTTTATTAGCTTATCGTTCAGATATTATCACTAACAATGCCACAGCTAAGGCGATCGAAAAGCCGTAATGCAGTAAATGGCTGGAACAAATTTGATGAGTGAATTACGCCCGAACCGAATAATTAATCTACAATTGTTTTCAATCTGAGATCAGACCATGACAGTATATCGATCTTCTATCTGCATCCCACTAACCAAACCCTACGAAGACAATCCATTTTTGGCGACGGATAAATGCTCTTTGTCGTTCCATTTTATCGAGTTTACACTCATATTTGATAATAAATGTAAACCAAATAAAACCGTACAATTAACATTAAAATATACATGTCTATGTTTAAAACATAACAAACAGCTTTTTTAATTATTTAAAAACTGGTGTAAGTAAAAATCTGTTAAAATAATTAACTGTTAGAATCGAGCTTTCGTCAACTGTCATTTTCATACAAAAGTCTATCCACAGACACTGATCCGACTTCCCATGGATAGCTTGTATCGACAGATGGCTATTACAATCCGTCGATTCGTTATTGGCTCACTTGTTACAACATTTGGATTAAGATTACTATCTCAGATGGATTGAGATAGGTTATTGGGTTCGGGCGTAAGTGGGTTCGCTAGTTTTTAATAAAATTTAATTTTTATAAAACACAGCTCTTTGGGTATAGGGTGAACCAATTCTCTGGCGAAGGGAGATAAAAGACACTGTCTAAACTAATTATAACTGCGCAAATGCGGAACAAATGGCGAATCAAATATGGAAAGAAGTTTATTTTCAAATTCATTAGATTTTCATATACGTTGAAGCGCAGTGTTATCCTAGTAGCTTCAGCGACTCTCATCTCGGACGTCAAACGTTCGAAGCCCGGCTGTGCACCAATGGACTTTCTTTCTACGTGCGCATTTAACATTCGCTCGAACGGTGAAGCAAAACATCGTGAGGAAACCGACATGTCTTAGACCCAAAAAGTCGAGGGCATGTGTCAGAGGCACAGGAGGCTTATCACCTGCTTGCCTATTAGATTGACAAATGATCATGTAACAGATACTGAAATCTAAGGTCCAGACCTAAAAAGGTTGTAGGGCCACTGATATACGTTAAAGAGATACTTAGTTTAATTCAATTTAAAAAAAAAAATGTGTGCGTGTACTAGGTGTACACACGTAAGAAGTGAAACTTCTTTATGACCTTATTAGAAACTATTTCTTTAAACACAGTAAATTTTGATACACTGCCTAGCATACAATTTACAAATTAATTGCTGCAAATTGCGATTAGCAAATTTCAAGTCGAAAATGTAATCCGTTGTAAACTTCAAAGTCAAAAACATACTATATGTCATATTTTAACGCCGATAAAGAAGTTTGACTTCAAAAAGCAACATGGCGCGTAACGGAAAAATGTGACGCGTAACGCAAAAATGTTACACTAAATTTGTTTCCAACCCCGATAAAGAAGTTTCACTTCAATTATTTATTTATCTTAGCTTAACTTATCTAGCGACCATCGTTCGTGTGCTCATTAACAACGTACTCTCTTTAAAACATGTTATATAAGTGAATGGAATAGATTAATTGACTGTATTCAAAAAGAACCTATAAAATACATAATTATATATGTATTATTATACATAACAAAATCTATGACGATATTCTAGAAGAAAAGAAACAATAAAAATTCATGAATGATGCAGCATTATACTATATTTTTATGAAATATACTTATTTCTAGTTGTCTACTCGTGTGTGAGTATTTTAATGTGGCTTGTAAAAACGAATTTGTGATCCTTATTGTAAGAAAATCGTTTCCAACAAATTAGCAAACTTTGTATAGCTGGAAAGTCTCCACAGTTGGCGAGCAAAATATAGTCGGGACATGTTTGTCGCGTGTGTCTGTCCCCCTGAGTACGGGACAGCAGCCCCTTCTTTGCGCTTTTTGAACCTTTTTCCTAAACAAAGAGGTACATAGCATGGTTAAAACAACTAACTGTATAAAGTTTCATATAAAGTTTCGCAACAGTCATGTTTAGAGATTTTACACAATAATAATTAAATTATTTGTAGAGCGAATAAATTATTAACGGCAGTGGTACCCATATAGCTTTCAGGTTAACGTGGTTCTATGGTAATCTTTTAAATCTTCACCAAAAGGTCTGACTCTGATTATTGTTTTAATAGATTTTTACAAAAATAGTGATAAGTTTACTAGAATAGAACATACGCACAATGTTAATACTCAGAACAAACGCAGGCAGCAATTTCCCCGTACTAGACTATCTAAAGTTACTAATCCATTTTTGGGAACAGGGATACTTTTCTTTAATAATATCACAGAGGCTCTTTTATCTCTGCCTTTTAATAAATTTAAGAAATGTATTTAAGAAAAGCCGTGTAAAAAGGCTTACTATAAAGTTAACGATTATCTAGTTGATAAAAGGGCCTGGGACTAGTGCTAGACAGGCTACTTCTAATTAATTTATTTTAAAATAAGTGTTGTTTGATGAATTGCTATTTTAAAAGAGTACCGAGAGTTTTTTACGCCGGCTTTTTCTCTCGGCCTACACCCTCTGTCTTCTTTGCCGATGAGTAAGGATATCTACCGATTCAAATTTAATGACGTGGAATAAGTGATACCTGTATCTTATGTTCCATAATAAACATATTTTTTTAAAACGGAGGATATTCCGAACTCAAACCCGCGAACGCTGGGCTTCCACAAGGCTATGTCCCGTCCCCGACTGTGTTTCTTCTGCATATCAATGATTGTTGCAACTTAATAACATTCATTGCTATGCAAACCATGGCACTGGGGATACTCTTTACACTGACCTAGCAGGTATTTCTCGGGCAGTTGTCGATCGAATAGTACAAAGTAGTGGTGTCTACTTTGTACTATTCGACCTTAAAAAAAAAAAGTGTAAAAAGCACCCTTTATCGATACGAGGAGTATAGTCTTTGAAGACAATCTCCTTAAAACCTCAGCTAGCATCGGAATTTGACATATGGAATGACGTTCAGATTCGCGGTCAATTGAAACGGAAGGCTAAATTAGCCTCTAAAAAGGTGCTCAGCAAGGCGAGACGGTAGGTACTCCACTCCGAGCCATAGCTTGCAACTCTATGCAATTCCGCCCCACGTGGAGTAATGTTCTCAGCTCTGGGTGGGAGCTTCCCAGTACCACCTCGTTCCACTGTACCGTATTCAACGAAGAGCGATTCGAATCGTCGACGACCCAGTCACTTTCTGAGCGGCTTGATCCTTTGGCGTCGCGTAGAGATGTGTGTGTGTGTGTATCATTTAGCATCAGGTGAGCCTCCTGCCCGTTTGCCCTTGTTACATAAAAAGAAAATTACTATTAAAAGGGATACAATAAATATAAATTCAAGGATAACATTCACATTTTTAAACATGTCGAACAAAGCAATGAGCAGATTCTTGTTATATTTTTTATTTAAAACGCCTCACAATGTTCGCGTGCTATTTGCATTAAATTTTGATATATGCATGAGATTAACGGAGGGTTGATGCATGTTTAGACATAAGGGGTTACAACATCGTAGTGCCGGTGTTTTATTTTATTAAAACCATTACAGGATATTCTAGATGGATTAAATTTCAAGACACGGTACATGGCAGTAAAATTCAATATTTATTGGAAGGTGTCAACATATTGTAATAAAGAAAATCTAGAGTCTATTTTAAACATTTAATATAACTTCTCTTACGCAAAAATTAAACATAATATCTAACCGCGTTATATATAGAAATAGATTCAGTCTATATTCCACAAAAAAACTTCTACTGATATATCTCTTTTAATTGCACAATATACACCACTTAAGAAAAAAAGACAAATGAGATCCCCCAGTCTATTCTTCTCTTTAGACGACAGATAAAATTTGACTTACAAAACATACTATATAACCTTACAAGAAATAACTATTTAAATTTACTTTTATTTCAAATGTCTACACAAATATACAACGAATAATGAACACTGTTAACATTTAACAAACATACACACTTCTTGTGTATTAGAAAGACTTCTTATGTAGATAGAAATGAATGAGTTTTGTAGACGCGACTTCTAAAAACATCAGCTGTGTATTACGATTTATGTCCGCGCACTCGTAATAAGGAATTCATTATCTCACTGTGGGATTGTAACATTTATTGCATTGAAATAAAGTCGAGTTTCCTAGAAAATATAATATTAAATTTTGCGAAACTACTGTTCCTACGAAAACACAAACTTAACCCGTTGAATTAAGGTTGAAATTTGTTTGGTAACGTCTTTATTAGGGTTGTTCGCTTTTTCAGTACTACAAGGAATGAGCGTATTCTCATTGTCTCAATTCAGTTTAATAAAAATATAAGCAGCATTAAATATGTTACAGTAATGATTTCAAAGTAGTATTCGAGATGAAAATCCGTAATCGTTCTTATTTTTACAAATAATAATATTTCAATTTTCTTATGTGTGTTATTTGGTAAAAGATAATGTTTCAATGTCAGTAGCGATAGCCATCTGATGTGTAAATGTATTATAAAGACACAAATAACAACAGTAACAGCGACATTATGAAATAACAATAATATACGATTTGATAAAAACATCGTTTTCCAAGAAATATCGAGTTACTTACTAACTCGATTACACCTAGCATCATAATTCAAATATGGTGAATTCAAGACTACGATCTATACAAGCTGGTATCGTAAAATGTAAAGACGTGTCGTGTAATAATGAAAACAGTGTCCAATATAATCAGGATAGCCACCCTCTCCCGGGCCGAGGCCAACGACCGCCGATAGGCGCACCGCCTATCAATACTATCCTAACAGATTTATACGTCATGTATTTGCCAAATAATGGATTCCGCAGCCGGCTCTTCTTATACAATGGGAGCATATAGGAATTATTTATAACAACCTCGAGATCAATTAAAGTATCGTGAGAAAACTGGTGAGTCTGTAGTCCGTAGACCAAATTTCGACGAGGTGTAAGTCAAGAAAAATTATGAATCAAATAAATACATAAATCTGTGGCTCTAACACCGAAAACCTTTTCTAGCGACACTAGATTATTCTTAAATGTGCGCAACTGTTTCTTCTTTATCAGTTTATTATGTTAATCATAAGCTACTTAAAATATTTATTGAACGTAATTCTGTTTCGCACTTTGCAAATATTTCAAACTCGAATTTATAAATTCAAACCGGAACGCTAGCTTTGTATGCCATGATTAAAAATTGAATACTAAATATTGACTGTAATCCCAATACGTTGCTAGGGTCACTAATGAAAGACCGGGGTGTGGGCGACCCCACAGGTGGGGTGAAACAGGTGGATAACTAGATCTATTGAAGCTTAAATTATTTAATGCAGTGCACAAAATACCTACTAGTTCCGAATTTATATTTCTATAACAATTAGGATTCATTGATACATATATTCGTATTTATATATTTTCAAAAACACAATCTTGTCTTAAGGAGACTCAAATTAAATTCATAAGTATTTTTTTAGTAAAAATCAAGCTCAAGAATATTTATAAAATGAAAGAACCTAATTAAACTCCTAAATAATTAGAAGCAATGGTTTCGTATCCCAGACAAGGCGAGTTCTAATAGTGGTCCAAAAATGAACGCAAGGAAGACAAAGAGAATGACCAACAGCCTAAAGCCAAATTATATATTAGAGGAAATAAAATGGAGTATGTTACAAAATATACCTATTCAGGAAAACAATTATTCTTTAATAATAATAATGAGGAAGAAGTGGCAACAAGGGTATCAAAAGCTTGGAATAGGAACTGGTCGTAAAAATAAGTTAAGGAAACTACTACTAAACAACCAAAAAAAATCCACAAAATTCGAAGTGACCACATCAGGTCGAAAAGTAACATCACCGACACGCTAACCCACGCCTAACAGCTGAAATGGAAATGGGCGGGCCATATTGCAAGAAGCACTGATAAAAGATGGACCACCGAAGCCACCCGCTGGAAGATGAAACCTGGAAAGACTACAAAAGCGATCGAGGACTGAGTTTCTGATGAGAATTGGATGGAGAAAGCTAACAACAGATCCATATGGAATGTTCAGGAGAAGGTCTTAACCCAAACGGGGCCATACTGCAGAAAACAAAGAAACGGAAACAACAATAACTATCGTAGAAGAGTATAATAACAAAACTAACCCATTTGATATGTAATTTTTTAAACAGTAGTATATATGGAATTAAAGTGGCTTTAATATTTATTATGAAACATTTAATTTTAATCTTAGAACTTTTGTCAGTTCAGTACTGTTTTTTAGACTTTTCCTCTAAGAAAAATTATGCATACGCAAACGCCTTTCAAAGAAAATGTACGAACACCTAATAGGGTATCATAAAGTGTTGCTAGAATTTTATGAATAAATAAAGGAACAATGAGAAATAATAAAAGAAGGTAGAGTGCGCTGTAGCGCCGCGATTAGCATTCAAATAGTCAGTTGAAAGGGCTGCCTAGTTATATGTTCTCTGTAAATATTTTTTATAGCATAATGTCTACGGTAGTATTACATAAAGTGAGCCTACCACCGGTTTGATTTATTCTCTATATCTATATTCACATCAATACATGCAATTCTGAACATAATTGCAAATGACCAAAATGTCTCAAAATGGTTTGTTTACCTACCTCTATGAACTGTTCCGTGGTATTGACACTGTGTATAAAATATCTTGCAAAAACCAACCTAGGAATTCAGAAACGTTTCTTTCAAATTCTTCGCGATTATAACGGTTAAAAAGTTCTTATCCGGAGCTGGATATATGTATTATTCAGTAGCGAGCTGATCAATTTTATAGAAAGCGTTGTTAAGTGCCTATCTCGTACCTAATCCAATGTTTTGCTGGTTTTTTCTGCTTAACAAAAATTTCTGGTATTTTTATTGTATCTTGTAAATGTTTTAATTATATTTTTTATTTGGTTTGTAACATTAATGTTTACCTAAATTGTCATACATTTAAGATAAAAGAGTTTGTAACATATAGCGTAGATATAGTATTATGTATGATGTGGTAAACTTGAATGAATAAATAAATAAATAGCGATAAAATAAAATTGTTTGTATTTGTAGCAACCCTACTGAGCCGCTTAAGTAAGTCTCTTTAGCAATTTAACTTGCAAATGTTAGCGCGAGTATTTTCTACTACAACACCTATGTACGTAGGTGTAGGACATTAAAAAGCTTTTGTGCCATTCAGTGAACTATTAATGAAATTTTTAAACGTCAGATCTCATTAATTAATGATGCATTATGATGATCTACTTACTAGTGATTTGTGACGAATTTGCTTGTCTAAATTTTAGCATTCAACATGTTATTTAATTAATTTTAACTTATGTGTCCATTAATGAGCTAAAATGAGATAAATTCAGTAACTTCATGTCCTAACATAAAAAATGGTACTATTTAATTTTATCTCTATAGTTCAGACTTCAGACAGATAATACTTTCGTTACATGAGATGCTTTATTATCTCATTGTGTTATAGATTATAACCGGATGCTTCCGACACTTATTGATAATTAAATTTGTATGAATATTAATGAATAAGAAATGATAGATATAATATATTTAAGCCACAGTATTTCAAGGTTTGTAGGTAAGAGAAATAGCGTGCAGGCTGTTACGTGCCCAAACCCTTATATTAAAACTAGAACATTAAGCATTCCTGGGATTGAATACTTAACAATCATAATTTTTATATTCAGTTACAATTTACAGGCGTAGTAAAAGCTTACATAATAACTTGGCACACATCACAATAAAGTTAAACTGATAATGCCATCCCAACTTGCCAAACACATTTGGTACAGTTTTAAGAAAACAATAACCATTGTTCTCGACGTTCGAACGTAATAAACGTACCTAGGAGCGCTCCAGATATCTTTGAGGTCACGGTACGTAGCTGAAATATCAAGAATCCAGCTCTTTTTAGGTCGGGAGGTGCTAATCATCCTTTGTCTTAAAAATAAGGTTGAATATCCCGTGCCACGTCTAGTTCCCGTTCCCGGGGCTCTGGATCGATGCCGCTGCGTTGTATCTGGTTTTTTCGGACACTATACCAACCGGGAGGGGTGAACGAACGGGGTTATGTAAGGCGCAATCGATAGAGCAAAGCATGCGCGCCCGGCCAACCCTCAACCCTCGCAATATCGCTCGCGCGGGCCGTCGAAACGGACGTGCCGTGTTTTATTTTACCGCGTTTTGTTTCCCTTTCGTTCTTTCCGTTTATGATTTAAAGCCACCATGTCGAAAGGTGACGGTGAACAACAGAACGGCTCCGGCGAGGAGTCGAAGACCAACCTCATCATCAATTATTTGCCGCAGAGCATGACCCAGGAAGAGATCCGAAGCCTTTTCTCCAGCATCGGCGAAGTGGAGTCCTGCAAACTGATAAGGAATAAGGGCGCGGCGTTCCCGGACGCCCTCAATCATGCACTGCACGGTGGAGGGCAGAGCTTGGGGTACGCTTTTGTTAACTACCACCGCCCAGAAGACGCTGAGAAAGCTATCGCCACTCTCAATGGCCTCAGACTTCAGAATAAAACAATTAAGGTATCTTACGCTCGACCGAGCAGCGAGGCGATCAAAGGCGCAAATCTGTACGTCTCTGGACTGCCAAAAACTATGACACAGTCAGAATTGGAGCGGCTATTCAGTCCATATGGCAGAATTATTACTTCTAGAATACTCTGTGAGAACTCAGGCGGAAGGCCTTTCACTGGTGGAGAACAGGGCTTGTCTAAGGGAGTTGGATTCATTCGCTTCGACCAGCGCGTCGAAGCCGAACGAGCTATTCAAGAGTTGAACGGGACAGTGCCTAAAGGAGCATCGGAGCCGATCACAGTAAAGTTCGCGAATAATCCGAGCAACAACGGGAAGGCTTTAGCGCCGCTTGCCGCCTACTTACCAGCGGCGCTGCGCTTTCCCAACCCTCTCGGACGATTTAGTTCAGGCAAGTCTTTATTAGCTATCAATAAAGGTCTCCAACGCTACAGCCCGTTGGCGGGTGAGCTGCTCGGCGGGGTCCTACCCGGCGCTGTGGGCTCGGAATGGTGTATTTTTGTTTACAACCTGGCTCCAGAAACTGAAGAGAATGTACTCTGGCAATTGTTTGGACCTTTCGGTGCCGTCCAGAGTGTTAAGGTTATACGTGACCTGCAAACTAACAAATGCAAGGGATACGGATTTATCACAATGACCAACTATGATGAAGCGGTCGTCGCTATCCAGTCCCTCAACGGGTACACCCTCGGGAACAGAGTTCTGCAGGTCAGTTTCAAGACGAATAAGATCAAGGCTATCTAAGTCGTTCAAGACATGGCCTAGCCGGACGCTAGGGCGGCACAGACACAGCAGGCGCGCACCCATACATCACTACACACAGCACTACTAGAGGATACCCGCCTCCGCAGGACCGTAGCCACACAAGGAGCTCTTCAATCGTGTGTCTTCCTCATAAGACGACCAGAGCGGTCATTTTGTATGTAATTTGTAATTTATTCGATTAAGCTCATTCATCTCTTTGTTCGACCGTCGCCATTTTATCAGAAAAAGTGGGTTAAGTGTTACGGAAATCAAGATGGTGGAAAGTTTCTGCGCATGCCCGGATGAAATGGCGGTCGTTGATGGGACGAGCGCGCAATAATAAATTAGGATGGAGGCATCAAATGCTGCTGGTCAACAACCATACATATTACATAGTCAATAACATAATGACAATCAACTTCGCTTATGAAAGGTTGTGGTTATCGAGAAATAGTTTTCGATTATTAATAAAGTAATTAGCAATAATATGCTATGCTCCATTTTAGGCGTCATATCTAACTTCGGTCTCGAATCGACGAATTGCCAAATAACGATAGCGTCGCGTTATTTCCGCGTCTATCGCTCACAAGTATAGTAGGTAGGATTCGGGCCGGCCCAACCAATTAAAATAGTGTTATTGTTAAAGATTGGAAATATATATTATCTATACGTATATTTTAATCATATATTAATCTAATTAAGGATGAGAACTAATCCAAAACTGTGATAGGTTTTGATAAAATTTTAAAAATAAAACTCGAAAGATCTCTGGAGCAGACGCCGTCGACGAGCCCTTTGTGGCGTCGGGCGACGTTTTCACGAACGTAAGCTCCGAGTTCAGCATCGGAGCGAGCCCGCGCTCGCCGGCGGAGTAGGTTAAGTAGTTTTTGAAAAGTTTTGCGACGCCTCAATCGCGAGAGCTAGGTGACACTCGGAACGCGCAATCACACAAAGATGAGGAAAATCGATTGAGCTCTGGAGGAAACCCGGATGAGGCGGAGCCACGGCTCGCCTCGCGGGAGCGAGACGGGACATCCACGGGGCCGGCTCTCTCGCTCGTACGCGAAACAATGGTGCGTTAGTACTTTAATGATATCGTTAAAAATCGATGTCTAAACATATGATGGGTACCTGCTACTATAATTAATGTATGGATGCGAACCTGCGTCTATTCGAAGTAGGCTTTAATTGTCTTAGTTTAAATGGAAATTTGTAAATAGATAAAAATATATAAAATAGTTTTCGCCGCGACTCGTCCGCGTCAGCACGCTGACAACCACAAATTGAACCCGACAAAGACCTAAAAAACATCGAACTTGAATAGATATAATATCGTGCCGTCCTAACGACCCTACGATTTTTGTAAAAAAGTATATACATAATAATATATGTAAAAACAGTTTTGTAAACATTTCAAAATATGAACTAATAACTGATAGGTACTCATTACATACCAAAGATGGAGATAAAAATTTACAAGTATTTATATATTTATTATATGTAAAACGTGCAATAACTGATAGCCAGTAATTTAATAAAAATATATTAAATAAATAACTCGAAGAGGTCGGTAGATTCACGTCTTCGTGGATAAAGAGGTAAAGATGTTTGTTTACTTATTATTGTAAACTTAGTTTGACCCGGTCAAAGGTCAAATTCTACTTTTAAACTTTGTTTTTTATAGAAATTCGCTTACATTTACCGCAGCTTAAATTGCTTAACGTTCTATTTTAGTCTTAATACGTTAAATTATTAGATGTTTGTATTGATTTAGAAAAATTGAGAGTTACCTTCTTGAATTAAGCGAAACATGATAATGGCGTCCTTGTCTTTGGCATATACCAATGCCAACTGCCAATGTCATTTAATGACAGACGCCGTCGATTTGTAGCGCGCGATTCGTATCACGTGAGTTTGAATTAATTTAATGGAAAGAGCGGTGTGAGATGAGCTTGGGGTGAAGCACAAGTTTTGAATTAATAATTAATTAATATTATTATATTATAGTACCGTCTTAGGTTAATAGTTGTTGTGTTTTGTGTTGTTCGGACTCAGCATAAATATTACAACTATTCTAGTCATCGGGACGGTGGTAAGATAACAATTGTATGGAATAGTTGTCGAATTAATGTTGATGATAAGTCTTAATCATAATTTTTCGATATTATTGGTTAGATTTACTCATTAATTTAGTGTATGTGCAATTAATTGTATTTTACTTGTATATCTTAGGTGTGCATTTATCTTATTTAATGTATATTATGTGTTTTAAATTATTGTGGTTCGATAAGGTTATTTAATAATTTATTAGGAGAATTGCACGTGGCGTTTCTTAAGTATTAGGAACACGCAATGGTGTAAGGAATTTATTTACCAAAATATTCTGATTTCTTTCATGTTGACTCAGTTCATTCGATATTATTTCATGCTATTATCGTTTAAACGATGTAAGTCTTTTAAATCGAAACAAAAACACCAAAGTATTTAATAACTCATCGACTTTTTAGATAATAAATAATGATAATTGTGAAAATGACTTGTATTTTGGATCGAAGTGTTGGTTAGGCTCTCGGTAGGTAACGTGTGACGTCACTTTGTATTAGTAGAATGTTTTGTGCGTTCCCCTACTTTTCGGATGTTATTAATAAAAAAATAATAATAATGGTAATAATAAATTATGAATAGTGCTCAATAGCGTAGAAGGCGCGGGCCTGGTCTTAGAATAAAACTGGAGAAGCAATAATAATTATAAATGTGAATTTTTAACCGACACACGGGTAGATATGCTACAATATAATTGACTTGATATTTTTATATGTATTTTAAAATTTACTGTAATTCATATCTTCATAGATATAAGCGGCCGACTTGCAAAACGTTCTACTAATAGTTAAAAGGTAGCTTTTATAACTATTGATCTCTGTGTAAGAATCTCAACGGCCACGGTCACTTAAATACAGATAACATGACAAGGGTGTGTATAGTAATAGAAGCTCCTTTTGACTGTTCTATCTGCTAAATACAATTATTTAAAACCAGCTTTCCACAAGACAAACTTAAAGTTGGGGATTGCATGGCCCTGGGCCCTTCTATAGTTGTTGCACTTTCAATTGTATTTCGTAGATAAAATAATGTCTGAAGAAAGCCCACAAGTGACAAGGGATAAACATACTTATATTATCAATAGCATAACGGCTACTTTTTGAACGGTGTTTTGAAGCATTTTTTATGAAATTGATAAAGAATAATTAAAATAATTATTGGAAATCCCGAAACAATACTAATACGCATAGGCTAATTAACATTGAGGCTGTGAAATTAGCAAAAATAATAATACACGTGGCGAATGTTAAATTAAGAGGAGTAAGAGTAAAACCACAGAATGAAAGATATATTTTTTAAGAATTTGGTAGAAATGCGATGTGAGAGTTTGGCTTGCGTGTTGCTTTGACGCATTTTTTGACACATTGTGATGCGTCTGTGGACCTGCGATGCTGCCACGTTCCATTTCACTCAGATGTCATTTCTATCTCTTTGTTCTGTGCATCACGCGTACAAAATATTTTGGCCGGTTTATTAATAAGCGAATCATTTAAATAAATTCCGACGACAATGCGTGAAAAAGTCCAAAGGATGGCAGAAGTAGCATTTTCTACGCAGTTAGCTTTTTGGTGTGTAAGTGTGAATGGCCTTACTCTCGGGCATAAGCACAAAACTCAATCGGTGGCCGAGACACAGGCCATTCGGAATAGTTAAGACACAAAGAAGAAATTAAATCTTCCATAGGAACTAATTAGGGACAACGTGGAAAATGGTTCGGTTCGATTAATGCGATGTCTAGTCAAATGCTCAATGAATTGCATTTATCATTTGAGGAATCGAAACGTTTTCGACGTTTAATTCGAGACATCGATTAAATGTGTTACTATTACATGTAACAAGCGCTAGACGATTGCACCTGCAGACTACGGCTATATCTTTATAAAATTATTCAGTAGAATACGTTTGCTCATCGCGTACTTCCTCGTCTTTTGGATCCGTTTCTCTAGTATATAGCTATTAACGTTATTTCCGTGATAATTTTATAAAATATAGCCTTACCAAATCTCCCTTGTATCAGCGGAAAATTTATCAAGTTAATACATAACATATTTAAATCATTGTAATTGAAATAATTCAACAAAATGTCGTCCTGAATATCTGTTGTTGCCTGTATGAGGAATGGTTCGGTGTAACAAAATATAACTCTCACTATGTGCAAAGGCCTGAAAACGTAATTCCTCTTACACAGCAAGATAACTTTGAGTTTATTTGAAAATTTAATAGCCACATCGCCAATATTTCAGTCACACAAAATATTGATTCGCCTTGTTTATTAAAAGCTTTCAAATGATTCAAAGTTCAATGCGTATTCCATATATTAACGAAACATAATATTTTCTGCTAAACGTTATAGACAGTGAAAAATTAACTGAAGTGGAAAACTAAACGAAGACGCAAAGGAAAAGTAGATTGCAATAATTAAGTAAATAAACAGGTCTCGAGGCATCGGGTTTAATTGCCGTATAGTTTCGAATTTAGTAAGAAAATATAAATAAGAATATCAAGTAATAACGATTTCACTGTCTATTTATTAGGTTACTTTCGGTGTTGTTTCCTCTTCTGCATATCGGTTCGTTCCCATTCCGTTTCAATCTAGAAAAAATATATTTTGAACTGTATAATATCCGATTATACATTTTAGGCGCGGGAACGACAAAAATTAGCAAAGCGGTGCAAGGATTTAATCCTTTTTTAACGTCCGAAATCCTGATTAGAAGTTCAAAGTGATCGCGCCTAAAATATGTAGTCTACTAAAACGGGTAAAGTAGTGATAAACGGTATGGGAACCGACCAAAACGTTATGCAGCGTAGTATGTGATACCTAATAGTAAATAACTGTAGTCTTCATTCGTATCAAGCGGCAGGACAAAGGTGACAAGCGAACCCCATTTCCGGCT